AAGAGCACTTTAGACGTTTATACCAATGACATTAACAATGTTTGTCTACAGATGGGACTTTTCAAGAAGTTCCCAAATAATAATTTACAGCTCATGGTGCAATCTGGTGCAAAGGGATCTACGGTTAATACTATGCAAATATCATGTTTGCTCGGTCAAAGCGAACTGGAAGGTAAAAGGCCACCGTTGATGATTAGCGGAAAAAGTTTATCAAGTTTCCCAGCCTACGATCCAACACCTAGAGCAGGTGGTTTTATCGACGGCAGATTTATGACCGGCATCAAACCCCAGGAATGTTTTTTCCATTGTATGGCGGGACGCGAAGGTCTTATCGATACTGCTGTAAAAACTAGTAGGTCTGGTTATTTACAGAGATGTTTAGTTAAACATCTAGAAGGTTTGATCGTTAGTTACGATGCGACAGTTAGAGATTATGACGGTAGCTTAATTCAGTTTTATTATGGAGAGGATGGTCTCGATGTACCGGGTTCACGTTTTCTAACAAAGAATCAAATCGCATTTCTAGTTGATAATAAAGAGTCTATTATGGATGCAAAGTTATTGGAATGTCTGAAAAGAAATGACAAAGAGATTGCGAAGACGATAAAAAAGATCAAGAGATGGGAAATTAAGAATGGTTCCTCGTTGCAAAAGAGGAGGATCAATGAGTTTAGTAAATTCTCTATGGAGAATTCCAATCAGAATAATGTGAAACAAAAAATCATTGATAGTCATAGTGGGAGAAGCAAAGCTGCATTATCGCTTATAAGAAAGTGGATGAGGACAGAAAAGGAACTGAAAGAGTCATATCATGCACAATGTACTAGATGTCCCGATCCAATAATGTCAAAATACAGGCAAGATGTTGAATTTGGAGTATTATCTGAACGGATAGAAAGCTTAATGGACGAATACCTCTCTCGTCCGACAAAAATTAAAAAGTCTGTTTTGAGAGATTTATTATCCATCAAAGTTATGAAAACAATTTGTCCGCCTGGTGAACCAGTTGGTTTATTAGCAGCACAATCTATAGGTGAACCATCTACTCAAATGACTTTGAATACCTTCCATTTTGCAGGACGTGGAGAAATGAACGTAACCTTAGGTATTCCAAGATTACGTGAAATCTTGATGATAGCATCGAAAAACATAAAAACTCCAAGTATGGAAATACCATTCCAAAATAACTTGGAAAATCTTGAAAAACAGGCGAAGAAGCTGAGATCAAGGTTAACAAAATGCGTTCTACGCGATGTATTAAAAGACATAACAATAAGCAGACGAATGGAGGGAAGCCCACACCGAAGATTGGTGCACACTTTAAAAATCAAATATCTTCCTCATAAATACTATAAAGAAGAGTTTTCCGTTCATCCGCGGGATGTGATTAAATGTACCGAAGAACAATTTTTTAAGAATATATTTAAGGAAATTAAAAAATTTGCCGCTATTTCTAAAGTTTTAATAAAGTTACATTTCGAAGGAGAAAAAAGACGAATAAACGACGAGGACGCAGCAATAGATGAAATTGATCCTGACGAAGTTGTACCGGAGAATCCTGAAAGCAGAACACGGATGGATTTAGGAGAGATGCACGAGTCATCCGATGAAGAGGAAGCCGCGGAAGACGCCGATGCTACAATGACTAAATCATTATTGCGTCATCGAGAGAATCAAGAATATGAGGATCCTGAAGAAGAAGAAGAAAATGAAGATATTGTATTAAATGATAAGGAAGAGGCAGTTGATAATAATAATGCAAATACAATTCTCGAGGATAAGGAAGATGATGATGACGATACTAATAAGAAATTAAATAGAAGGAAGAATAACAATAACAAATCTACCAGCGGGAAGGATCGTGTCTTGGATATGTATAAAAATGCAATGGATTATGATTATGACGAGAATAAACTATCATGGTGCAAATTTACCTTTTGGGTAAGTGTTTAAGCGAAAATTTCTAGTTACAATTTTTCTGTTATTTTACAAAGAAGTATTATTTAGCTTAACATTTAAATAATATTTTAGCCATCACTTACGATATATTAAAATGTATTGTTAAAAAATAATGTATGTAAATATTTTATCGCAAAACAAAGCGAGAAAAAGGCTTCTCTCTCTCTTAGCATCCTCATTACAAAAACTTTATTTATTCTTTACCTACTTAATATAATTATAATTTCTTTTTATTTATTTAATTCAATTACAATTTAAAATTAAGAAATTTGACCTGATATTACATATAATTTCCAGTTTTCTTCACATAATTTTTCGGAATGTCTATATAAATTTCTCAACTTTTTATTTCTGTATATATTTTTATAATTTTTTTTATAAATTTCTTATTATTAGATTTTTTTTAAATTGGAACACTTCAGAAAAGCTGAAAAAGTCTATCTTAGAATAATCTTCTAATGTAAAATAACGGACATCTTGTTTAGAATTCTTCATGCAATATGTGAACTTTGAAATATTCTAAGATTTCTCATTCTATAATTTAAAAAAAAAACTTAGAAAATCTAAGGCAAGTATTAATAGTCGATTCTTACATTTAAAATCTACACAATTGCGTAAACGTAAACATAAATGTTTGTGAAATGTTGTAAAGTGCAATTTTACTTGCTATTATCGATTGTAAAAAGCGTGTTGTAAAAGATGGTTCAGTTTTTATCTATCACGTATCCGCGTTGTTATGTGTTGTTAAATTTTAAACAGGCATATAACAATTTATTGATAAATTCGATTCCATAATATAATAGCAGTATATATAACAGCAAAAACACTTTCTGTCTATTTATGGTGAACAATCAGCACTGCTGTTATCGAAACTGCATGGAATCTGATTGGTTGTCGTAATCTTATAGTTACGACATCTTTACTCGATTGTAGATTAATATGTTGTACAATTTTATACAATATTTATGCGCTTGATCTACAATGGGCAGTAGTAATAGTGGATGAGGCTGTAAGAGTAAGAAATTGCAGACCAATTACAGTCGAATGTGAGAAGAATAATCGATTGTGAGTCACTGTGAGTGATCATTTTCTTACTCGTTACAGTTTACAGTCTCATCGTCTCCACTATTGTCATTGTAGATCACGCTTACTATGTAGTCTGTAATCTAGGTAGTAGCAGTGGATTAAGTAGGCGTAGGAATCAACCGATCATAATCGAATGTGAGAAGGCTAATCAACTATGATTGATCGATTTCTACGCCTCCTTAATCCACTAGTTACTACTCAGTGTAAGAGAGAAGACCACGCATAACTTACTACTCTCATAACTTTACGTCTACGTAACTTTAAGCAATTGTAAACCCCAGATATCGGGCTTGACACATGTCTTTTTCAGTTACCGCTTAAAACAATCAAATTGGATTTGCCAACAATAATTAAGAATGCTGCGAATAAAACTGTCTTATGGGAAACAAAATGTATTAAGAAAGCTTTTACATTTCAAAACAATAAAGGCGAAACGATTCTCAAAACAGATGGTCTCAATATAGTGGTAAATGTATATTACAAGCAATTTAAATATAAGTAAAATATATTTTTCTACTTTTTGTATTCTTTTCATTGCAGGAAATGTTCAAGTATGATAACATACTTGATTTAAATAGATTATATTCTAACGACATTTATAATATTTCTCAAACATATGGAATTGAAGCCGCAAATCGAGTTATTGTAAGAGAAATTAAAGATGTCTTCAAGATGTATGGCATCACCGTTGACGTAAGACATCTGTCCTTAATCGCAGATTATATGACCTTCGATGGTACGTTCAAACCACTCAGTCGAAAAGGAATGGAGAATTCTGCTTCACCATTACAGCAAATAAGTTTCGAAAGTTCGCTAGGCTTTTTGAAAACGGCGACATTGCAAGGTAAGTTATATATTTAGAAAAAATTATTACAGATTATGCAAAAAAATTATTGCCAAATTTTAAAAATATGAAATATTCAAAACATTGCATTCAATATATATATATATATATATATATATATATATATACTTTATATGTATTTGTTTTTAATATAGGATAAAATTATTTAATGAGATCATACCCTTCAAAAGATGTAACTTTCGAATTATTATCAATGAGTTAGATAAAAATTACTCTCAATTATCAAAAGTAAAATAACTCAACTTCAATTTAAGTTCACCTACTAAATATTGTAGTATACTTGTCCATAAGGCTAAGTCCACAACCTTGCTTTAACGGCCATTCTACAATAAGCCATTAGTCATAAATCAAAAGTTAGAAGCTGGAAATTGACCAACCACAGTCGTCAATTTCCAACTTCTAACTTCTGATTTATGTCTAATGGCTTATTGTAGAATGGCCATAAGCTGTAAGTTGTAAGTGACGATATATATATCTTGATTAATAATTTACTTTAATATTTTTATATGCTTGTAACAATAATATATGAGAAAATGTTATTGGTTAAAGAAAAATTAGACGAAAAAAATTATTTCTATTAAAGATATAAATGACATTACTATTCTCATATTTCTTCCCCCCATTAAATTGATTAAATTATACATACATGCACACATGTATATTTATTTGTATGTACATTACTTACTTATCTCTTATCATTTATAGGAAAAAAAGATGATATATTATCACCTTCGAGTAGATTGATGTTAGGACAACCGTGCAAATCTGGAACTGGGGCATTTTCTATTTTACCATCATTGTACAACATGTAAAAATAATAAAATTCGTTTTGTTTACATTGTGATTTATAATTATATCTTATATATTTGTAAGTTCATCATACATTTTAGCAACAAAATCCATAGAAATTTTTTCATTATTGAAAAATAATGCTGCTTCAATCTTTTTCGATTAAAATGCGTGTACAATATGTAAATAATGCAAATTATTTTTTCTATTTAAATAGCTATTCTATATTATTTATGTAAAATAGTAATTATAGCTAATCCAGTATATCATTTTTACAGCTTTTAAGAATACAATAAATTTAAACATTCGTGACGATTTATTTATTTATTTGTGTTTTTGGATCATATTTTTTAATTTATCGTAATTTGCACCGGAAAAGTTCTCCAGCTGAAAGCATTGACAATTTTATTCGATTAGTTGTGAAATATAAATAGCTAAATTACTTCATTATTTCTTTTTATAATATTAACGCGAGAATTTTTAATATTTAGATAAATATTTTGTACGAATTTAATACATTACCACTTTGCCTTCCTTTATAAAAACAAACGTAGGCATACTAGTAATCTCATATTTAGCAGCAATATCTTCACATTCGTCCACATCAATTTTAAGAAAAACAACATCCAGCATTTCCTATACAAACAAATCAAGATATTAATGTTTTGAATTTCAATAAATCTATTGAAACTTGAGTTAATAAAAAATTAATGTGATGTATATAAAACCTTTGACAATTCCTCAATCAATGGTCCAATCATCTTACATGGTCCACACCATACAGCAAAGAAATCGATAACTACCAAATTATTACCTGCATCTTTAAGTTTAGTCTCCAAGTCATCCTATTAAAAAAATAAATATCATATTAATCCCTTTCTGAAATATATATTTATTAATTGATGTGAATAGAAAGTACATAAATTGAGAGAAATGCATTGTTTAAAGTAATTTGACATGCAAATTTAAGTAAAATTGTTTTCTTTACAAATTTTATATTTTTGTTATAACTTTTTATAACTAATGAAGCATTTAAAGACCTATGTACATTTATATGTATAACATTTTTTTCTTCTTTTAGCTTATAATCGTATTTATTTATTTATTTATTTTGGCACATATCGACACGGTTAAAATATCTCTATCTATCGGTTAAACTACTCTACTATTTTTTATAATCGTACCTTAATACTTTTATACATAGAACAAGGAAATAAATCAATTGGTGTTGAGAAAACATGGTTGCTTTAAAGAGATATGTACGAAAATACATAATTTTTTAAATATAAGCAGCTATGTATACTCTACAAATGTAGAGTATAATTAAAAATCTTTATTAAACATTATCTTTCAACATTAATGACCTTATTATAAAAGTGTATTCTAATATTCACTGCCAATATTGAAAATATATAATTCATATTACATATACATATATCACAGATTTTCAGTATTATCAGCGAGTATTGAAATACAGCCTAACAAGGCATAAAATACAAGACTATTTCTATTATAAAATATTTCTAGCCAATTGCGTATATACATAAAAATAATGCTATTTATTTAATAATTATGAAGATAATAAAGGATTGAAGTAACAATTGGTGAATTCATACTGTTAACCATTACAGATAGAAAAAGTAACGATTCTTACCGAAACAATAGAGTGCCTTTCATTTAATGACACAAGTCGACACAATCGTTATTCTGTCTTTCTTTTCGTGAGTGACAAAGGCAGAACGATACTTGTGTATCATTAGATGGAAAGCATCCAAAGTAACGATAACAAAAAAAAGGTAACAAGTAATATTTTACTTTTCAACTTTACTCATCGGCAAATGTGCTCAATTATTCAGGAAAAAAGTAGGTATGACGCAACCACATACACACACACACACGCGCGCGCGCGCGCGCACACGTTCTTTTACCTACTTCAATTCGATGATTCAAGTCTTTGCGATTAAATGGTGACGCAATTAAAATCGTTCACGATTGACGTAATATTGAACGAATCATCCATCTCCACTTACAAGCGTTAAACGCTCATAAGATGCGTTTCACGCTCGCTAAAGCTACACATTTCGTCTTTGTTTAACATTTGATAAACAAGAATGAAATTATATTCGCGAGCGTTAAAAATGTGAAACGCACTTTAATCAAAGTCGTTTCGCTTGAATTCGCGCTTTCATATTATAGTTGTAACAAAAAATCATCTCGCGTAATAACGCAATGCGGGATCGATTGTTTTCAAGGTCGAGTACTGAAACCGAAGTATATAGATTCCGCGAACAAGTACATATAATACAAGTGTAATGTGTCTCATGTTGGAATATTTATATGGTATACCTGCAGTTTACAAGTGCAAATTGTAATCATGTAGTTTTGACGAAATAATCTAATCTTTTTGCTTTGCGATAAGGAAACGATGTTACACGTGTCGTTCGTTTTCCGTCGCTGTTCGATTTCTAACTATTAACTTAACTTATAAATCTGAATTTTGATTTTAGAAGTAAAAGTCGATGTAATCGTACGATATTACTTTGTCGGAGAACTGCGGCATACGTCATTATTTCTTCAAATTGGCATTATACTTTTTTGCTTTTCTCCCAGCTTCTGGCAACATTGCAGTTATAGAACGGAACACCGTCGCGTCGCCGCCGCCGCCGCCGCCGCCGTTTGCTATGCTATGCGTGTGTGCGACGTACACTCAAGGTTATCTTATCTCACACATCTGTATAAGCCACTTCGATTGAGGATATACATTCTATTCCTCGCAGACACGGGTGATTAAATTCTTAATGTAGTAATACCAGCATAATATTACTTACAGAATTCTGAATAAGAGTAACCTCTCCTTCGTGACCCATTATTGTTCAATTAAAGTCAGTGGCGAATTTCCTTTTGAAAGAGCGAGAGCGTTGCCAAACGTTACCAAGCGTTACTGGTTGCTACTAATGAATCGTCACCAACGAATAACGATTGCTGCTGACGCAGTGACGCTGACCATTGCTGACGTCTGACGTTAAAGGTGCATTCTCATGACCACTGACGTGGTCGGTGGCAAGGGAAAGCTAGGGCTCTGAGGCATTTTAACTCTATACTCCATTCCGTCACAATCAAAGCAGTATTCAAAAACTGTCCGCTGTTCTATAGTATATATACGTAAGACTCAGCGTACAATAGAAAGAATAAGGAATTAAGAATAAAGAATAAAAACGATTTCAACCTCTTAGAAACTGTGTATTCCGATGTATCCGATTTCTGATAGGTTAAAATCGGAATTTATTCTTTATTCCTTCTATTGTGCGCGCAGGGCTTAACGTATATTATAGTATTTCCCTAGCTTTTCATATTATTTCTTTTCAAGAATAGAGGCCCTTATTCTGTAAGGCAGTAACGACATCGTTGTTCTTATATCATAAAATATCTACGAAACGATATCGTTAATAGGTCTGTTCGACTTGCTTACACTTTTTACACTCGGCATCTTCACTTTCTCTCTTTTCAGCGTCAAATTGTGGAGACCCATTCACACTTCCGCACACACACGCACGCACGCACGCACGCACGCACGCACGCACGCACGCACGCAGTCTCGCATTCTTTCAGTTATACATCAACCATGCCTTTTATTCGTTAGACTCACACACTCCGCGACCAGATGGCGCGCTATCACGAACACGATATCGAAGTTCCCAATCTAGACACTGGCTCTTTTGGGTTTTCCTTCAACCGCGCAGATACAAAAAACACATCGAGTTACGTTGTCGCGATAAGATGTATGTGATAATAAACGAACGTTGTTATTTGTGAATCTGAGTTTCCTCCATACATTTATTATATGTAGCACCATTTGCTATACCACGATTTGCTGACTCTTTCGGCAAGGGAATATAACAGAAAAATAACAGAATAAAGGGTAAAACAACAGTTTTTTAGAATATAATTCTTTGCTTTAAAAACATCAATATTATATAAGAAAATAATTTATGTTTTTTAAGTACAGGGAGTCGAGTGTGTATCTTGAAATGAGGTAAAAATTACAAAAGTGAACAAATTTACTAGAATATTCATAATTTAATTGGTCAATACCTAGTAATCATTGCTCACTTTTGTAATTTTTACCTCATTTCAAAATACACATCGAACCACAGATTTTGTGTTTGTAAAGCGGAGAATATGATTGTGAATAATGATATTAAAAACAACCTTACCTTTTTATATTAATTAAAATTTAGACCTAACATTTTTTTAAGTAGACACTTTGTTTTTAATAGAATAATATACAGAGAATACTATTCTAAAGAACTGCGCTATTTAACCCTTTACTGTTATTTTTCTGTTGTTTATTTCTGTTGTATATAGTCAGGTTTCGGAATACAGTTTGCTCACCGAGCATCATCAGTGCGATTGGTTTTTATTCATCGATCGACAAATAAAAACCAATCGCTCGATGAGTAGACTGCATTTCAAAATCCATAAAAAAAAAGTGTTGCAATCTTTAGGCCTTGACTATATATAACAGATGGAAACAACAGAAAAATAACAGTAAAGAATTAAAATAGCAATTCTTTAGAATATTTTCTGCTTTAAAAACAAATTCTCTATTTAAAAAATGTTAGATCTAAATTTCAATTTGTATAAAAAGGTACTTGTTTTTAATATCATAATTCACAATCATATTCTCTGTTTTACAAACACAAAATCTGTACTTTAAAAACACATAGCAATTATTTTCTTATATAATTTTGACGTTATTAAGATAGAGACCTTTTAGACCCTGACTATACCCTTTTCTGTTATGTTTAGTGGCGTACTTGTTTCAAATTTAACGGAGTGTATGGTCACAGCGCATGCACGTGTGACTAAAATGTACATATATACATAGCGCTGCATCTCGTTAGTACCTTATTTTCTAACCTAAATTGTCGTCGACTTTAACGCTCAATATCTCAGTTCACGAGGCAGATCGCAGCTTTTTTTATCAGATTCTTTCATTTCGAACAAAAACGCGTTGAATGAGCTCAATTTCATCAAAATTGGAGGTGCAGTCCATATTCTAAATAATTATCATATTTACATTTTTACAAATAATTATAAGCTTAGATTAATTTGAAACATTATTTTAGACAGTTTTAAATAAATAAACATTAAGCACTGCTTTTGCAAGTTATTTATAGTTGTTAAGAACTACTGGCAGTTCTTCAGATGATAATTCTTCGCATCTGTAATTTTGCATTGCCTGTACAGCTGCAGGTTCTTCAGAGGAACATATTCTATTAATCTCTGATGTTGGTTTTAATATCGTACGATTAGCAAATGTATCCTGTGGAAGCATTTGATTATCTAGTAGTTTATTTATAACTGTATCACTTGTATCAATAGAATGAGCTGGACCATAATCTGGCCTCTTTGGTTTTTCCTCTGTAATGCAAATAGAATAATAAGAGAAAATCATTAAACTCTAAAAAAAAATAAAAAGTTTTATACATATATAATTATAAACTTTACGTTTTAATATATCACATGCCACAAAATCAGCAGCTCTAAATAGCTCTGCTTTTATAAGAAGTTCTTGTAATAATTTTAATGTTGGTCTCCTTTTCTCCATAGTACCCCACTCATCCAAAAATATTTGAGCTGCGTTGCGTTTATCACTATTTGCCATTTGTTCAATGATGCTAATCATGGAATGATTACAATGATGTATTATAATGTAACAATTAAAATAATTGTTTTTTTTTTAATAATAATCTTAAGAAAAATATAATGCATTTAATTTCTAAAAATTTCTTTTCATAATGCTGACAAAAAAGCACACTAAAGTATTCTTCAATTTCGATGGGCTTTTAATATAGGTATCCGGTTTTTACTACTGTACAGTAAACTGGATAGTTTGATGAACATGTAAGATAAAAAATTGTCTAAACTTGGGATCTATTGAAATATCTTATAAGTAGTTACCTGATATGATCACTACTAAATTTAGGAACATTTCCTTCTTTGAGCACAATAGACATTAGTTTCTTCCACGAATCAGAAATGCTTAATATACTTGCTAAAGTATATAACTCAGCGGGCCTTAATTTTCGTATTTCCATATCCAAATGTGCTTTATAAGACATTTTTAGAGATAATATATAAACAATATTATAAAACAAATTTTCAATTTTTTTAATAATTATAAAGGTTATTTTCGAATATTTACTATAAATGGTCGCATTCAGTAGACGAGTAGGCTCAACCACATGCGACGCGACAAACCTAGGGGCGTAAAAAAGATTGTTTTCATCACTACGCCTGTATCACCTATCTGATTGGTTGCTGCTTCCATGAGTTCCGTTCACTTTCGCTGCTTGACGCTGACGCTTGCATGTGAATGAATTGGCGAATGGCACCTGTATGCTTGAATGTATAGCTACTGGTCGCGCTAAACTATCGACTGATGGCGTTGATCGCGATATCGTAAATCGTCCATCGTCCCCGATTGGCAATTTGGCATCCTTGGTTTCTACCTCTATGCTGTACATATATGCATGTAGTCAATGGTAGTTGTCAGTACCCCAGTACTGCACATCATTGCCTGACAAGTATCTTTTGTTAATTCACGAAATCTCGGTGTTTAATCGAGTAATACTGTAATCTGTATCTTTTTTAATTAAGGAGATTGATATTACAAAATGGTAAGTATTCCATTAATTATCGGTACATTGTGCTTCAATACTTATATTTTAACCATCATTGTAAAGAAGTTATAGATCACAAAACTACTATTTTTATGGTTATGTATATTTGCACATAGTAATGTAGAAATACACAACTATTGATTAAAGACATAGAGAAAAAGTCTAGTAATCTAATCATACGAAAAATGTATGTAACATTGTTCATTGTTTAGATTTAGAATAATATTTAATGATTAACACACACGCACGCACACACACACACACACACACACACACACACACACACACACACACACACAAAATTACTTGTGTTAATTGATTTTAAATATGTAAATAATTTCTATTAATTTGATTGTTGAATATATTTCTTAGTTCCGCAATCAGTACGATAGTGATGTGACAGTATGGAGTCCACAAGGCCGTCTACATCAAGTGGAATATGCTATGGAAGCTGTAAAATTAGGATCAGCTACTGTAGGTCTTAAGAGTAAAACACACGCCGTTCTTATTGCACTGAAAAGAGCATCATCGGAATTATCAGCTCATCAGAAAAAAATCATACCGATAGACAAACATATGGGAATTAGTATCTCAGGTTTAACAGCTGATGCAAGAATATTAAGGTGCTTTGTGTTTGCTCATTTTCCCATTCCATTCCTTGTATGTAATCCATTCCAAGATATCCATTTTAATTATGTCTTAATCGCTATAAAGTTTGCCATCACTATACTATATTTATTGTATTTTGCCATGAATAGAGTCTAATGTCTGTTATCTTGTTACATTATACAATTTATTGTTTTAGATTTCTCCTGTTTAAGTTATTTCAAATTGATATAAAATTATT